TATTAATATTATAGATTGTATATAGATCTACGGAGTTGATATATGATCTTATGAGTAAATATGAATCAATACCAGGCTTTTGATCGCGGAAACATAGAACCTTGATGCGTCAAGAACCTTTTGAAGAAAAAACACCAAAGGGCAGTCAGTGACCTTTAGTTGGCAATCATATAAAGAGATATTTCTCTAATGAACGTGATTTACCTGCTGGATTTAGTCAGATATTCATCAAAACCTAAATAGCGATGGTAAAAATCACATTACATTGCACTATTTTCATTCTCGCTACGATTCTGGTACGAAAACAGTGAAGTGAGCATGCGTGAGGTGAATTTTGAGCGTGCTAGGCAGCCAGTTCGTAGTGTCAGCCAATCAGAGCGAGGTTCTTATATGCGGTTCTTACCCGTATTCCGGTAAAAATTATACCTCCTATTCTTGATTGCCTAGAAAACGAACGATTTCATCGTACTGCCTTATGGTGGCGCTGCTCATATTGAAATTACCAAACGCGACGAAGCAGATTATCCCACTGTCAGCTGGCGTACATGTGAAAATATCAAATTTTCAAGGTTTTGTCGAGCATATCGCGAGAGGGATTTATTCATCTAGTGCAACGTAACGACAGAGCGTATTCACCAGAAGTTCACAGTTTTGATTTTCGACTAGACGCTTCGGGCTTGCATGCAAGTCCAGATTTCCGTTCCTAACTTCAATTTAGTCTGTTTTTGGTTGTCTTTAAACTATTAGCCATTGTAATTGGATTAATTTGTATCTGTAATTTGTTGTTGTTGTTGTAATCTTTAACCTCCTTCAGTAGGTTGTTATGAGTTAATAAATTGTTAGTTATTAGATTACCCATACTGCAGTGCGCGTACTAACTGCAGTAGAAATCGTGTGCTGTGAACTATTAGTAATGTGAGCATATATGAACCGGTTGCCGTCAAAAAGCGTTATTTTTAAACAAAGAATTGGCATATACATTGAAAAACAGTATACAAAACAGTCAGGATTTTTGTCTCAATTTGTTTTTAAACCTTGTTTATTTAAATGCATATATACAGTCATATACTTTAGATATTTCAAAGATTTATGATACAGTTTACCAATAAAAAGATAAAATCTAATGACATGAAATAACTAACAGGTGCATTGGTTATCCATGGTCAATATAAAACAATTTTGACCACGATGGACTCCAAAATGGTTCATCATGCTTTAATATACAGCATTAGAAGTCTACTCCTGGTCAATACAAAGACGTTCACTTAAAGTTGCATTTCCACTTTGCAAATTTGTGAAACGCACCTTCCAGAGCAAGCTAAAAACATGTGTAATTATGTTATTTTTTTTAATAAGAATGATATATTAAAATTATATATCCTGTCTTTGCCATTACACACATTTCATTGTTAGTGTATTGGAGGCTATTATCTCTTAGTCTGTGAAATAAAATAATATTGCCAATTTTCTTTATTAACTGATTTACGTGCTGGTACATTTATTTGTGATAGGTAAATATTGGTCAAGGTCAAATAAGTCGGCAAATAACAAATTATTGAACATAATTGGAAAAGTTAGTAAAGTTGAAGTCCCCAAACTCTTAAGATTCCAGATAGACAAAAACACGTATTTTTAAATATTGTAATCTGATATTGCGTGTTGAGAACAAATTGGATTATGATTAGATCATTCTAATTATACATACCAAAACGTGCATTAGACAATGTCATTATTTCATCGAAATATAAAAATGACACGTATTCATTCATATTGAATAGATAAATTACACGTCACAAATTATTAGATACGGTTGGAAAAGTTAGAAAATTTGAGTGTCTCCAAGCTCCAATGCATGATGGACAATGAAAAAACACGCATCTTTATTATTGTCGTTTGATACGACGTGTTGGGAACCACACTCGATTATCGAAGGTGATTGTTATTGTACGTGCCAAAACAAACAGCGCAGATGAGCGTTGGAGAATGTCATTCTTTCATCAAAAATAACATCATGTTCTCATCCATACGCAATTACCATATTCACATCAATAATATGAATGCAGAAAATGACATGGATGGAAACCCATGGATTCACTTACTTAATAAATATTGATTTTGCGAAAAGCATATAATTTTTCAGCCTATGTACCGGTATTGAGCAGCTTTATCATAAATACTATTAGATACATGTAATAAGTGGTTGATGCGCCACCAATAGGTCGAATGTAGTTATGATGTTGACCTTTGACCTTTGACCTTAAGTACAATCATGACGAACGTTGCACGCCTATTACGAGTATGGTCGCCACTGTTGGCTAAAAACAGAAATATTGTACAAGTCAGACCATTAGAGACACATATGAGGTTGTTAAGCACTGACATCCAACAACAACAGCAAGATCTGTTGGTGAAGTACATTGATGCTGGCGAAGAGAGTGGCGAAGATATGGGACAGATTGTGGTGTTTGCCATGAACAGACCACACGTTAAAAATGCACTTGGCGTAAATTTAGTTAAAATGTTGGTTGAATCTCTCGAAAAAGTTAAATACGACAAAAGCGTTCGCACTCTTATCGTGAGTAGCAACGTCCCGGGAATTTTCTGCGCAGGCGGAGACCTCAAGGAGAGAAAAGCAATGCCTGTGAATGATGTTGGCCCTCTGGTGACCAGAGGAAGAAAGATTGTTGGAGAGTTTGAAAATCTTCCTATGCCAGTCATAGCCGCATTGGATGGAGGAGCATACGGTGGTGGTCTGGAAATAGCTCTTGCTTGCGATTTTAGAATTGCTTCTACGACCGCAAAAATGGCTCTGACTGAAACTAAACTGGGGATCATCCCAGGTGGCGGAGGCACTCAGCGTCTTCCTCGAACTATTGGGAAGGGTCTTGCCAAGGAAATGATATTTACTGGAAAGGCAGTGGACGGAAACCAAGCAGAGAAAATGGGTCTTGTGAATTATGCTGTTGAACAGAATAAAGATGGAACAGCTGCTTATATCAAGGCTATAAAACTAGCAAAAGAAATTTGTGCCAATGGACCGATTGGTGTAAAAATGGCCAAAATTGCGATCAACAAGGGAACAGAGGTTGATCTTCAGACAGGTCTTGCTATAGAAGAAGCATGCTATGCTCAGGTTATTCCAACTAAAGATAGAATGATTGCACTGAAAGCCTTTTCCGAGAAGAGACGACCCATATTCACTGGTGAATGATAAGAACTGTTAAAATCAACACTTTCTAATTCACTTCTCACTAGGAGTTTTGTTGGAAGTGAGAAACAATGCCAGGCAGAAACCTGTGGACATTATAAATGTTTTGTAAATATACGGTAATATTTTTATGAATTCAAAATGGCTGTTGGACTTCCAGTCGATCAATCTACCAATGGTGTTGTGATATCATAGCAAGTATAAATTAATATTAAAGGGCGGTGGTCGTCGCGCCACGTATACGTGAGATATGGCTCTCATATATGAGAGAAGACCCATATCCAATGAGTACAAACTAAGAGGTTACCAAGCTTTAATTTGGTATTCTTTTTGGTGATTGAAAGGTCTGGTCGAAACTTGTACTTGTGATTTCATTAGAAAATCGCATTGGATTGTGGGAGAATCAATGTTTATCAATATAAATGATGGCCATACATGGTGTAGCGACCATCATAAATATTAATGAGTTAGTTCAAAGTCATCTCATCAGAAAACATTTTAGATTGGATTGAATACTGTAAAACATGTTGAAAAAGCGACATACTATTTTAGAGAATTGTGGTAAAATGACGTAATAGCGAAATGTTGATTTAGCGAATCTCTCTTTGTTGATTTCCTGTTTTCAGAATACTTGTCTGTCGCCTGCCAAAAAAAATGCGCAGTTATCACCTTATAAAAACAAAGATAAACTGTCAAGTGTAATAAGGAAGCACTCCAGATTATTATGTTTTTTGTGGAGAAAAAGACGTTGTTTGGCTGCCATTTTGAATTTATAATGAAGTCATTAGCAACATCTTAAATTAGCTAATTAGTTCTCTTGCTAAAAAGACATGTTTTACAGTAATTGGGTAGTTGCAGACACTACGTCACATTCATATACAATTAAAGGCATGTGTGCACAGTATGGGTATAGATAATGTTAAACTTTTGAGCCAATCACAATAACATATTTAAATATGAATGAAAACTGAGGGCCGATATTTACAAATATTTATAAATGCACTTTACAAACAAGGTACAATATTGTCACTCTGTATAATTTTGGCCTAATTAATTATTCTCTGTATTTTCTATAATGTTGATATTGCTATATTTTAAGCAGCTGGTTCACAGAAATAATAAAATCAATTTCAAGTAAAGAATGTTTTTATGAAAATTTATAAAATATTTATATAACATGATAAGAAAGATTCTTTAATATGCTTTCATTGGCTATGGACCCATTACCATGAGTCTTTGCAGATTTCATTTATTGATTAGCTAGCCAATTTACTGCTCACATTTGTAAATATGTTATATATATCTGTATGTATATTTTATATCACTACAGTACATGTGTGTAGTACAACATATTCTTTTGTTTCCATGAACCCATTTGATTACTGATTGAATATTGTATCATATTTTGGGCAAACTATATTAGTGAAATAATGTGCTGGATAAAAAAAACTGCAATTTACACAAAAAATAGTTTGAAAGGAATTGATTATTGAAATGTTATAATCCTCAAGAATTGCTAGGAATTGATTCTGTCATAACAATTGTAAATCCAATAAATGAAATAAATGAGAAATGTATCATACATGCCAAAGACAAAACAAACGTGGTGGTCTGCAGGTGCTGGTTTGAACATCACTATCATTTTTCCGGGGTAGTCAAAATATATTCAAAAAACAAACTCAAAGGTGAGTATAATCAGGGTATATAGTAAAATACTCCAATTATGTTTTATCATGGTTTATTTGAAATAACTGTACCCAGGCCACTGACAGCAGTTGGCTTGTTTCTGGTAATATTAAAATCTTGTACGCATCTGAGAGATTGTATGTCATGTTTTTAAATGTTACCACTTCATTATGAAAACTGTAGAGCATGTCTAAATGTACCGACTGCTGAAATATATATTCAGTGTTGAATAAATGAATATATCAGGTAGTTTTGTACCAATTTCATTTCCATCGATTATGTAACAAATCAATGAACAAAATCACGAACTCTGGTTCCATTTCATCGCTTTCTGGCGAATAGCGCACTCTATCGACAAACATGTTTAAATCTTTTTATGGTATAGTATAGAATACCGCCCCCTCTAGACTGTAACGATATTTATATCTTTTTAAAAATTCACAACAACTTTTTTTCACCTGTTACCAGAACTCACAACTCAACAAACTTCTGTCAGTTACTAAGTATTCCCTATTTGTTTTCCGACTTACGATTTCCGTTTCGTTAGCAGTTTTAATTTCTACCGTCTGTTTTGCCTGTATGTTTTGATTTTTCTATTTTAGGCTATCCCTTTCACGGGTGTCAACAAAGACCCTACATTCCTGGCATATCTTGGAGTGGCGTCAGCTGGCTCTCACCTGTCAATGTCTCCATGGCTTTCACTAATATGTTCAATAAGTTTTAAATCTTGCTAGATACAGTGTACCGATTTCTAAAAGTGAAAAAATGTGAACTTGTCAAGACAACGACACAGGAGTGATTTTCACGGACTGCGCTTAAATGTTGTCCCCGAGGGACCGGCCACAATAGAAACAAACCAACGTAATAATCACGTTTACCCTTCCAGAATGCGTGGCTTAAACAATAACGCTTAGACCGTGACATGGAGGAAATACCGGCGGACAAGTTCAAGTTTGAACTCGTCAAATCTTCAGCTTGGTAAATAATCCGACCTCTCTGTATTCGGTTTTGCCGGAAAATGTCGACAATTTGAAATCTATAAATTAGTTTATTTTTTTCTGTTAACAGTATAACTATTTATAACGCGAGCAGTTTATGTGATATGGAGTCGCAATACATTAGGAAACACAAGGTGACATTAAAATAACAAGCATTTTTTTTCATATTTAAATAGTTTTAACAATTCAAATATTAAACATTCTTGCACACATGCGACCATACACGTGTTTGCGCATGGTTTGTGCGTCAGAGAAATTAGGACTTTTACTTCTGGACCAAAATTGTAATTTGTTTTTTTTTTCTTTTTGCTAGACAGTTTTGAAAACGAGGTTATGCTTATAGATTCATGAAATTTCATAGTGGAGAAAAAGTCGACAGTAAAAACGGTTTAGGCAATTGAGAGGGTGGGGTGATTAGGTAAATTATGGACGTAAAAAGACTATTGTTGCATACCGAGCGCTGATTGGCTACTTATTGACAATCTGGTGGATATTTAGATAAACTGTCCAATCGAATTGTACCTTTGAAACACAATCCATGGTAAGCTGCCTACCTTTGCTGTTTCGTTCACCTTACACCCACCGTAAATTTTGATAAACTCCGAATTTGTTTTATGTTTTATTGCCAGTTAGTTATTGAATTGATTGTTCAGTTTAATAAAATATTTTTTTTATAGATACAGCTATTTCCTCCCAAAATAGAAAGATGTGTGTCACGATTAAGTGGAACCATTCTTATTCCCGGCGGGAGTAACGCACACAGTACAAGAGCGAATTACCATTTGTCACGAATGAATAATAAAATTAGCATTACAGTGCTGGGAACGCGATCAAATCTAATCTGTGGTACAAATGGTTCTCTGTTTTGAGTCTGTTTTTAGACAATTTTGGACCGGTTCCTGATGTTCCCGCCGCCCAGAGGCTGCGATTGCTGTTCTGTCTGAAGGATTACATACTTGTCTACCGTGTATTTAGCTGGTTGGCTGGGGAAAAAATACAGGATACTGGGTTATTTCACGAGAGGTCAACACATTTTGGAAGCCGAGTGATCGCGTAGTAAACTGATTTCTTGTGTATATTTTTGGACATAAAGCAATGGCGAACACGAACTGCATGTGGATCTGTGGGCTTCTTATAGCTTGTTTAATTAGCCTTGTCGACAAAACGTTGGCAGCATCGGGAAAAACAGGCTGCCAGGACGTAGAAGACGCTTACACCACAAAAGGATTTGATGGTAAAGTCGTTCCAACGAGCGCAATCTCGGGTAAGACTTCAGTTATGTGTAAGGATAATTGTAAACACGCTATTGTGTGTAGATGTTTCTTCACGTTGGATTTCGTTTTTTTTTTTTAATTCTGGGTGTTTCAAGTTAACACTCTCGGACAGAATTACCATTTCATGAACTAAAATAAATGTCTTTACGATTTAACATTATAAAATTCGACGACCGGGTCGTGGGAGTTTCGGTGAGATCAGGTCGAAAGCCCTCCACGACCGTTTCCCCTACATATGCAATTAGTCTGCATACATCTATCACGGCAGTTGTAGGTTAGGTTTGTCACACTAAATGTTCCCTGTACGTTGTCAGAGGTTTTATCTGGTCACCCTCCCAACAAAACAGTCGTGTTGCGCAGTAAAACGATAAACGTCTCTCGAATTTACGATCTGATTATGTTTGAATCGACGGTAATGTAGCAGGGCAGGCAGGGACGTTGACGTTTTTACCCTTGAAACGATTTTGTAGGAAGATTGCCATTGTCCCCACACAAAACCAATCGTTTCAATAAAAAAATTACCGCATACCGATTTATACGCGTTGTTCTTCTTCAAATGTGAGAGCTTACAAGCATTAAGTAAGTCCGAACGTGATTGTGGTGTAACTCCGCGTTTCGGTGAGGGATTGATCAATGACAACGATGCCTTCGACTTCATCATTTATACGCCAACTCATTCATCAAGTTTATATTTCGATGCCGTAGAAATGGTATACACTTACAGTATGAAAGCCGTAAATCGGGCTCTCCTTGCGTGTGAATGCCATTCTAACGAGGAAACTCCCTAATAAGCCCACCTGCATGACTTGACCCATGTGGTCCCACAAGAGATTTGGTTTCCATACATCATTGTAAATCCGCCAGGTGCTGGATGTGCAAATTATCTTGTCTCCTTGGCAACACTGTCATACCTTACATTATGTTATTAAGTTGCATTCCCTTTTATCATCAAAAAAAAATCTTTAAAAATTGTGTTCAGACTGTTTACTAGTATTACAAGGTAGGTGATTATTACCTAAATCATTGTTGAATTAATTATGCAAATGAGAGTGTAGGTGTGGGAAACTTTCTCAATAGAGAAATTATGTGTTGTTTTAGGTATCCAATTAACACTACTTTATTGTATGGCCCCTATTTCCCTAATTTTAATGGATTTCTTTTGTTAATTCCAACAAAAACTCTTGCATTTCTTCCATACTGAGTGTGACTCATTCTTTAAAACACAGGGGGGATGTAGTCATCCCTTCACAAGGCCAGGCAAATTGGATAACTGAAGATTCAAGAATACTCCACCATCAAGGAATTCTATGTTGTTGAGAGAAGCACTTGCACTTTTTGAAACTAAATCATTTAAATGCCCAAGTCAAATGTTATCGCTTTTTTGCAAAGTAAATTTGAGCATGAAGCTTAGCTCCATGATTTGAGTAAAGTGCTCCTGATTTTTTGTAAAAACCATTTTGATCAAAACGTGTAGCCAATGGGAAATCATTTGGGTCATAATTAACCAACATTTTTCAGAAAAATAGATAAAAATTTGTCAAATGTTTCACCAAAATTATGGTGAAAAAAATTGTCCATTAGGGTAAATAGTTAGAAGCTAAATTATCGGTGGCGGTATGTTAGGGTCCCAATCCCAACTTCACTAACTTACCTGTGATCTGTAACCGGGATGATAATATAAGAAAATTACTTTTATTATTTTAGTACATAAACACACATACCCCTGAGTGTCAGATCAAAATTTAGTATCTGGTTATTAAAAAATATTATAAAAATGATTTACTACTTCCATGAGATATACTTTTAAAAAAAAAATGTCAGCCATTTTATAAAATATGAGTCATCCATGCTGGGTTCAATGCTTGACTGCATGAAAAACTGAGAAGCTATACACTTGGGAAATAAATAAAATAGGAACATGTAGTTAGTAGAGATCGTGATAAAAAAACCTTGAGAAATCTAAAAAAAAAACAATTTGTAGTAAATTTGAAAAAAATAGAGCATTTAGATATCAGTTGCGTGGGAGCTGAAATTTACATACATATACATTTGTATTGATAATAATTACGTGTTATAAAATAAGTATAATATTTATCATAATCTTAGTTTTAGTAAGCATCCATTGAAAATAATCCAACATATATAATTGTAATAATATAAATGTTGAATTTTAATTTTTTGTAATAAGATTATAGGTATCAAAAGTAGATATCATTTTCAGTTCTGCTGTGATTGAAAATTCCTACTAACATAGGAAACTCAAAAGGGTAAGCTGTGAATTCCTAGGATCACACCTTGCTATTGTGAGACACTTGTCTGTGTTGATTGTATCCAATCAGTGGTCCTTGCATCTTAAATTATAATTGCATCCAATAAAAGTCCTAGATTGTTATATTTTGAACAGGTACAAAAATATTATACAATTGCAAGTTTGTAAAACAACAAAAATTCATTGACCTAATTAATCTTTGATTAATACTGAGATGGTTGCTTCCCGAAGTTTGTACACTGTCTTACATATTTGACAGGAAGTGATTATTACTACATTGATGGCATATTTGGGGACAACTCATACTGTAAATGTGAACTGAACATTACCGTAGGTGTGAGTGTGTCATGAAATTGTGTTTGGATCTGTCGTTGATCTTTCAACAATGAGTTCAGTGGGCAATACATAAGATAGATAATACCAATTCAAAATTTGATTACAAGTAAATTTGATTTGGCTTATTCATTGAATGTGTCGTCATTTTTAAGTATAATTGCCATCCTTTTTAATATAAGATAATTATATTCACAATTTGTCGTGCTGCTTTGGGTCGGGTGCCTCAGCATCTGTCCTGAGCTACTTCATCTAGGATGTTAGTATATTGTGTTTACATCTTATATGATGCTTTAGTTTTGAAGTGATCTATTAATTTAGTTAAAAAAAAATTTGGCTCAATCTTCGAAATCAGAAATTTATTTACTCGTAGAGCACGTATTCTAGACGAGAGTTTTTTTTATTCGGTAACAAAACAAGAAAATAAAACATTCATTTATTTGTTGCCGAAATTAGCAACTTATTTCATCTCCTTTATTGCATTGTTGGAATCAGGTGATGACTCACAAAACCATTTGTTTTCATCCAACTCTGTCATTCATTAAGTTTTCCGGTTGCCTTCCTTCTGTCATTTTGGCTATGGATCTGTACATGGAGATTTTCAATGGGTATGCCCATTTGCAAGTACTTCTAAATGGAGCCCTTTGAAAGGGCTATGTAAGTCGTAACCAAAAGAGGTCAAGACATTCAGAGCCTTATCCTTGTGTGTAACAAAGTTACTACAAGTACAAATTTGAAATGCACTTACACATAGAAATGTGAAAAGAACTGTGTGCAGTTGAAAGCCATACTATGAAATTATTGTCTAGAAAACCTTTTCTACATATAGAATTAACAACAGAAGTCTGAGTGAGGCAACAATCGGCGGCATTTTAATTGAGATTCAACCGCGAACGAATTGAGAAAGTGTGGAGGTCGCTTGTCAGTAAAGAAGGCCTGATCTTTGGGTGGGCCCACGTATTTCATCAGTGCTATTGTTCAAAAGCTGTTTGAAACAGCCGATGCAAGCCTTTGTACGTGAAAGCAGTTTTTACTTGAATGGCACCACAACAATCGAACTAGCTGATTATTCAGCATTCCACTTCGGCCTGAAACCATTGTGACCTTTGCACCCAACTTGTTAAAAAAAACAGGACATAATTGTGACAAATTTGTTGCAGTTTGGACTTTGCTACTGTGTTACTGCATTTATAAGTGTATGTTATGAAGCTATTACTAATAAAATAGTAGGTATCACTACCATTAAAATAGACTTGGTGAGAATCTTGTGTAGTAGGTACTAATGGAAACTGTGTAAACTGTGTGAGAATATAAAAGACTATACACACACAGCACATTCCCTCTCCACTGCAGTGGAAAATCCTAAGTAAAAAGATTGAAGTGTAGTCTGTGTAATTAACCAGTGAGGTTGACGTGCCAAGCCATGATTTTTAAAATCCACATTTTGGGGTTGGTAACTCTGACTGAAAAGGAAGGGCGATGTTTTCTGGCAGATTTTCAATACCACATCAACTAACTGATTACTGGAGATTGTCTAAAAAATGATAATTCGATGACAGATATTTTCCTGTGAGCAAGACCAATGTTCACTTTTAATTTCAGTTATCTTATTACATAACTACCTCAAATTAAAAAGAATCTCTGCATAATCTACTAGTTTTGTTATTTACTTTTTACTGACCGCTACTAGAGGAGTGTGTTCTCTTCACACTTACGCAAGTTAGATGCTTTAGAGGGAAGGTGACACTATTTCAAAGTAGCGGCTTAATAACAACGACAAACACATTCTTGAAGCCCTATCAACCACCGAATAATAATATCATGCTGTAGTGACTTCCTGTATAGAAGGAATAATGATCAATCCTGGTTTACAAGAATACTTATGAAATAAGATAAATTGTTTGAAAACTAATGTTCAATCTATTGTTTTGCTTTAATTATTCACCGCCTATTGTAGCTTATTTTATTGATGTGTGACCACTTGGTTAATTTGGTTATTGTTCATCTGCTATTGTGTTTTTCAGGCTGTGACCCCATGTGACCATATTTGGTCACAAAGCCATGCAAATGCTGATACTATTCGATTGTATAAAAAACATTTATAACAATTAGTTCTAAAATTACAACTCTTAGTCATTGCCTCTTTTAAATTATAATTTTTGCTAGACTTCCTCACCATTTCTGTCCAAAGTTTCATGTCTCTGGTATATATACAGTTATTTTTGCCAACATGGTGCATAATAATAGCCATACAAATGTCAAAAATCATTTCCAGTATTCATGTTATCACAAACTGAAAATTTGGATTTATTATCCATTTGGTTTATTTTATGGTTGGTTTTGTCAGGGTCGTACATGTTATTTCGAGGTTAACACAAATTTAATTGGAGTGCCTTGGGAATTATAATTTAATACTGATAGGCATGGCTAAGAGAGGAGAATATGGGGACCATTGGCAGCATAAATGTATGTTAATGTCAACACTATAAAATCTGACCTCTCTTTTCTCAAAATGTTTAACGGGGTCCATCTAGCCCGTTTTTTCAATAAATGGTATTTTCCCCTCCATAAACTGGTAACATAGCCATAAAAGTTTGAAAGAAAAGACAACTATGATTTGTAGTCTGGAATTTTGGTTTTAGAGGTCAGTGTACTATTACCATCACACTGGCTGTTGACTGGACATCAGTATCTTCCCTTCTATGATGTGCTTACAATACAGGAAGATATAAATAGTCATGTCCACTTAATTTGCATATTATAGTGTATCTGCCAATTGGTAAATGACTCTGAAATGAATTTCATCTATTCTTCCAAAAGTTCATATTCACATGTATTTGTCACATTATTCCATATACACACTGATGTTCATTCTTAAAAAGTCCAAAACACGCAGTCAATTTCATCGTCGACTGCGTAATATGATTGTTGAGTAACCAGATTGCCAACATTGTGAAATCAGGTCGTGCTGAGAGCAGTGCTACCGATATGTTGCTTTGAGATCCTCACAAATGAAATTTGAAGAAAAGCAAATTAGAAGTGAACCAAATTGAAACATTATATGTGCTGGGAATTGAGAAATCCTTTCTAATGCTGAGTAGTGTTCTCGGCAAAGGGAGTGCCATGATATATTAGATAAAAGTGCTGATTTACATAAAATAATTAGAAATAATGCTGTAAATGTCCCTTCAGGCTTTAAGTAATTATGTTTAGGGTAATACACAGATGTACGACTAAAACAGTAAAAAATGCATATGTATGTGCATTCAATTTGTGATCCATCTGATTCAAGATGGCGATCATTTTCGAGATAAAAAATCATTTGAATCAAGCATTTCTACCATTATGGAACTGATCTTGGTTCTGCATGAACAGAATTCCTCAAACTTGGTGCATACTTTATACATAATGATACCTTTATACACAGAGTGGATTGAAAGTGGCCGACTGGTGGCCATTGAGTTTCAATGAATACTTTCCCGGAGAGGTATTTCTGATATGCGCTTTAATATTTCTAATATTACTTAATATTATTATTTAATATGTGCTTTAACCAGTCATACTCAAATTTCACACATGCTTTATCACATGTAATTTTTTCACCTTCAAGATAGCCAAATGGCATCCATATTAAAGCTAAGAATTCATCAAATTGAATCATTTCACTGTTCTAAATTCTAATTTTAAACATAAGTTATACATCAGTCAAGTTCTGATTCAAAATGACTGACTGGTTTCAGTTTTGTTTTTTCAAAACATAATTCAAATAAATCATTTTTTCAAATATTCTTTTCTATGACTGCTTGGTTTTATTGTTGTCATTTCCAACTACATGTACTAGTAATAACAATTGCTTTTTTGTTTAAATATAATAATTTTTGCAGGTGAACATTTAAAGATATGCCCCCAAGGGTTTACTTGCTGTACAGAAGAAATGGAACGGCAACTGGCCGAAGTCAGCAGACAGGAATTTGAAGATACTATCTACCAATCAAGTCATTTTTTGAGGGAAACCTTTAAATCAAGACATCGGAAGTTTGACGGTAGGTGGTGACAATTGTCAAATTAGATCTTATTAATAAATTATGTGCGGACGTCCTGTGTTGGTGGGATGGGATAGGCACGTGTTGATACGTCCTGCAAGGCAGATTAGAAAAGAAAGGAAGGAAGGAAGGACATGGAGAATTCTTTATAATATTGCTGTGTCCACCGAGAAGCTTTTAAAAAACTTGGTTTTGTTTCCTACTCTACAATAGAATTCCTTTTATTTGGATGATTTGTATTGGGATGTGTTCCAACATGGGTCGGGGATTAGAATTGATATTTGCATTTGAATGCATCAGAGATTTGGCGATCCTTGAAGAAAGAACTATTCCTGCTGTTACTTAGTTAACCCCATACTTAGAGTTAGCAGATGTTTATGTTTGATATGACCCATGACCTTTAAAAGAAATGGCATCAGTCAATTAAGCTTGACTTTCCATAATGCCCTTCTTTCTTGGCACTGTGATGACCGAGATCTCCCCTCCCTGACAGATCTAGTTTTCTTTCTAAATCAATGCATTAGGAATCACTTATATTTGCATATATTAAAATCAATTTTAAATGTGTCAAAGCAGCTTAAATATATAACTCATTATCTTGAAGCGGCTCGTATTTTTGTTGTTGATATTAACGGATCAAATGTGATTGAGGAATGCAATCTGTCTTCATTGGTGATTTTGTTTAAAAGATACAAGAAAGCGTTGTTGAGAAGCCCCATTGTTCTGAAAATAGCACTATTGTGTGGATCCATATGTGATTTATGGTAACTACTAAAATCACACCTGCTCGTCCAGTGTCAGTTTTAATGCAAGTATCGTACTTCGGTAACCTACTTCGCTGCTGTGTCAATGGCGTTACCTCATTTAAAACCGCCTCTCTCAAATCCTGCTATGCTTGGAACAATATGCGACTTCTTTTGTGTTTTCTTCGCCTGTTCTCCAGCATTCAATACTGTGTGAATCAAGATGGTTGCATTATTTCGTAATACCGTTGCTAGAGAAACCCATTTACCAAGCTTAAGGTAACCATATGTTGTTGCTAGGTGATGTTTACCACAGTTCATTGTCACATGCTCAGTGCTGAATACAGGAATGCTGCTAAAATCCTAGATAGACAGCTGACTCTGGCATATCAAGGCAATCACTCGCATTCTGAACCTGTTGTATATTTTGGATAGTGCTTAATCCTGTTTTTAGTCGGGATAAAAATGTTGTATATTTTGATAAGTGAAATGTGCATACTGGCAAACAGTACTGGATTATTAAAATAACACTGGTTCTGTGTTACATAATTTGATTGAGTATACATGCTGGCTGAACCTCTCCCTCCCTCCCACATGATAGCAGTAGTCATTAGCCAAATGTGTCTCAATTTGTGCTGCCTTGCCGCACACTGAAAAGCTTCGGCAAAATGATTCGTCTCTTCAGATGCATTATCTTTATTTCCAACCGTAAGCTGTTGACCCTTCCCTCTTCTTTCTACTATAGCCCTTTGTCGGTGCACTTAGGCAACTTGGGGCCTCAATATCAAATTGAGACAGAAAAAAATTCCTCAAAACAGCTTGGTTCATTGGTTCCTTTGCTTTTGTTTGTGTGATTATAATATCAAAGACAATAACTGAAATATTCTTACTTTTTTCTCCTGTGTCGCATTCCTTTTGTCTGATGTCATGGTTAAAAATTCTACTTAATTTTTTAAACTATGCATGACAAATGTTCCCATCGATCCAATTTTCCTATTTTTGCCCTTTTCAAAAACAATCATTCAGTCAGTATTAAAAGAGGATCAAGCATTGGTTGGTTGTCTTTTTGTTGTAGTGTGACTCACTTCTCACTTCTATAAATCCTTTCCTAAAACTTTAAAAAGAAAGATTCCATTTCAGTGAGTTCACCTTGAGTTGTTATGATAGTGAACTTAAGATGACACAGCTGTTCCCCTTCATTTCAGAAAGCCAATGGCCTGCTGGGATAGAATATTTCTATTTTCATTCCCTATGGTACAAATTGAAATGTATATAATTTGATTGTTTTGGCTGGAATGCATTACAGACAGATGTGAATAAATTGAGGTTTCTTTTTTTAAGTAGAAATATTTTTCTTAAAATTAAACTTGTTATTTTTCTCTTATTTGTTTGCATTTATGTTTTACTGTATTAAAGACAATACTTAAGAAGCAACACTTATCAACATGGAAAGTGGCATTCCCAACATAGTTATATTTTCGTTAAAATTTCAAATCAAATTTCTGTATAATTTCAATGCAAAACAGATGCGTTTTATCGATTTTTTTTCGTATACTACTCCTAATTCGAGGTACAAGCGACCTGAATATGTTTTTAATATTTTATTCAACAAACGAAGCTTTGTAATTCTGAACACTGAAGCATTTTATTGAGTATAGTACGACTAATAAAAGCTCTGACAACTCCATTGCTGTATTGTAACTATGTTTCCCATTGACACAATAAAATCATGTTAATAGTGTGACTATCAGTAGCATGCCAATTTGTTGCTATCCAGTGCACAAAGCGATATTTGATGTAGATGAGGAAATAAGATAAAAAAGAGCAAACTTACTTGCCTCCCAGATGCTCCATAATCATGGCTGTAGTCTCAGGATGCTTCTTAATAATATTTGTATTGTATTAATATCCAAAAGAGGTATTAAAAAATTAATGGTTATCTACTTGTTAGCGAAATTTCAAGGCATGCTCCAGTGTGCTCTTCCTATCTGCCCTTCTAACATTTAATAATAATCAAATACAACTTATTGCATGTACCGGTGTCCATAGTAACATTGGAATCACCTTTTGATGGGTATGTGTCAGTAATTCCTGGCCAATATATTCCCAAAGAGCTTTTTTTACGTGTTAAACCTTGACATGTAATGTAGGTCTATCAAACTCTGTGACAACGTTTGACGACTTTAATATAAAACCTTGATAATTTATTTATTTTTGGCAATATCTGCCAAAATTGACAACTTGTTTCAGGGTCTGATCATCCTCGCACTTTCAAATTAAAATTGAGTTTTTTGGATTAAATCTGATTAAAGTATAAGAATGGGATCAAAGGATGATATGTTGTTATCTGATAAGCTGGTTGTCTGCTCTTCATGAAAAAAACAAAACAAAAACATTTTGACTCCATATCTCAATAGAAATAACCGCAGTTCTGACATTAACAATTTTGACAGTTTGGTATTCCCCTCAGACTTTTTAAATTGATTCACAAGCTTTTAGTAACAAAATGGCTGTCAACATATATTCAGACAGAGGCTCCATTATGGTGGACGTGTCTGATCGTTGGATACCACCTATCTGCCGCTGATGCCGCTGAATTAATAAATATTGATGATGCAATCATTAGATGGTTTCGCAATTATCTGATCATAAAATGTATGCTTGTTGCCATGGAAAATATATAATTTTGTGTTTCGTGGAATTGATAATCAAATATATTGATGTGCTCTGTAATGATTCATGCATCAAAAGCTAATACTTGTTTTTTCAATATCATGTTGTTGTTGAAAAGTCAATCTTAAGTTCATTGCAAATGTACCGTTAGATTAATTGCATGAATGACCTGGTGAATTTACATCTTTGATTGGATGAATGTTTGACCCGGTGTCATAATTTCATGTGTATGACACAAGCTCGCCAGAAACTATCATTAGCATAATTTTGAATTTCTGATTGCATCGAAATTATTTTTGGAGAAGCAAAAGTTTTTTGTCCCTCTTGGAGGTAACTTGGATGTTGCATCGTTATTTTTTATTGCAGTTTCACGCAACTGTCTGCAAAGCTCTGAAAGGTGTCACCGTTCACTGTGCCACATGTGTAACATTCTTGCTAACCCCATCCATGCTGCATAAAGTCATGGAAAATGTTCTGTTTCTATTTGTTTTTACTTAATCATTCAAAAAGTACTCCGTTAATTTTCCATTTGTATGGTATTAATTTGCATTCTTGAAAAACAATTACTAGTATTCTTATTACCATTGATAAGTAAGATTTTGTTACTGTTCTTCCAATTTAAGTATGATGAAAATTATTTTTGAATGATGTTTGAATTTTACACAGATTATCTTTGAATATGCTACTGTTTCGTAGTTTTAGCAAAGTTTAATGTTAACGTATCTCAGGTTCAGCGTTCCTTTCTTTGGAACCTCGGTAGTCCCCCCCCCCATGTTGATGGCATTCAAGAATTCAAATTCACTACTCTAGTTGTTTAGAAAGGGTAGAATAGCTTGAAGATAATAGTGTTTGTTGTTTACATTCCTTTGACTGGAACATACAAGTTGGAATCTAAAACTGAATGTTGGTACAGTGCCCACCCATTCACTATTACCACCAATGTAACTCTATCCACTTGCCATAACTGTGTAAGTGATTGAAGTCTACCAGTCTTTTTGTCACCAAACTGAATACATAAGAGTTGAAATATTTCACCAGTGTTGATTTGGTAGTCATATCCGTGGCTTCCATGCTTGAATGTCAGTAAAATAATCTGTCTAAAATCTCTCATATTCAAGGCATGGGTTTCTGTTAGTGGTTCTCCTTTACCTTGCGGTATCAGCTGGTACTGTGTGATCAGAGCTGTTTTATTCGTTCCCCGGGCTGTCTCGCCATCTCTTGTCAATTAAAAAGTGGGTCAGTGTGGGAGTTTTCCATAGTTCATTGCACCCCTGTCACATCCCTTTTGGTTTATAAATATGAACAATATTTTTACGCTAAAAATTTCTCGTTTTTGAAAGTTAAAGTATATGATGCAGAGATATTCTGACTACTCTTCACAGCAGAAAAAAAAATCTTTAAAATTTAAAAAAAATATTTATTCGCTGAACAAGTCTTTTGCTGAAAGTGGAGATCTAACATTTTTCTTTAGAAATTTAAGTATTGTAATATTTAGGTACTGTAAAATACTTCAGTGAAAATAAAATTCAGTGAATATACCTTTTTCTTCTATATTTTACCATCAACTTGTGAAAAATCAGTGAAAATAAATTCCATATATAAAACACCCCAAAAGTCTTTTCAGCAAAAATTGATTCCAGCTAAAATAAAGTATTTTACAGTAGCTTTAATAGTGACTCTCTCAAACTGACCAATAAGATGCAGTTACCAGTAGAACTGTTTGCTAAATAAAAGATTTGTATTGTATGTGTAGAGCATAAAGTAATTGGGAGTTTATTCATATTATGCTGACTGCCACCAAAATAGCGCATTCATTATGTGCATCCTAAATTTACTGGATATTTGACCCAAGTAGAGCGCATGCTTGAAAAAATACCATATGCAATTGATTGTGATATTTATACACAGTGTAGCAGAAATATGTATTTCTGGCTGTATAATAAAATAGGCTGTATTTTCAAAAGGGCACAGACTACGCCTCCAGAGGAATCAATCTGTGGCGGTGCAGCCTTTGATGTTTTTAGTGTCATTCCATGATAAATTGATGATTAATTGTTGACCACAGTTATACAAACATTGAAAAGAGGGAACAGTTTATTTTGAAAAGTGCCAGACCTGATTATGGTCCCCTAAATATGTGAGGTCAGTGTTGGGGGAAGTAGATGGTGCATTTAAGAGTGCCAAGAAGCCTCATGAAAATGTGAGTTATAAACATTACTTGAGCCATATCCGTTCAAGTCATTAGCGAGTATGTAC